CTTGTTTTACAATAATAAAGTGCGGCTGCAGCTTTAATAACTTTTGCAGCAGCAACAACCACAACAAAGTTCCTGATGAAGACGACGACAGGGCCAGAGTTGTGGGTAAATAGACGGCAGGAGAAAGGCAAACAAAAACAGCAGTTGCAGTCGTCTGTGAATCTGCAGCTGCATTCTAATGGTAACAGAGCTACAACCCCTGCCGGACCATAGCCAGGCAAAAAAAGTAAATATTCCCACAGACATGCGGCATGGGAATCGGTATTTAAAGTGTTACGAAGCTGAAATTTTCAATTCCCTACAGAATGCCAAAGATGAATAACATTTGTTGCAGCAATGTTTGCACATATTTAAGAAACTTAAGAGTTTGTCAACTTTCCTAGAAAATGCAGCGGAAAAATGTTGCTTGCTGCATTACCTTAGTCTTTTAGACCAAATTGAGCACTCCTGTCGCTTGTTTCCCCTTTTATGCATGCATTCATGCCGTCAATCCAGAAACTTTCGTCGCGCCGTGTCACGTAGTGTCGCCCATCGCGCAGCCCAATTTGGGTACCCGCGCTTTGCAATGCAAAATGGCGGCGCAGCAAAAGTTTTTACTGCATAATCGCAGGCGCAGCATTTTTCGTTCACTGATAACAACAAAAGCAATTGGAATACAAAATAAACTTTAGAAGACTCTACAAACTTTTCTGAAACTGCGCATAGTGTCCCGCCGGGGCAGCAATAGGAACTAGAGCAGACAAATTCATCTGCGTCTGTGGGTAAAAGCATCAGAAAGTTTCATTTGCCAAATGCGAAAAAAATGAAACGAGAGACGAGGGCAACAGGAACCAAGTCGACATCGACATCATCACGTTTTAGTTAACATTTACATTTTCGCTCCTTTGCCACACATTTTTTTTGCTTTGTGATGACTTCTGATTTGTATTTAATTTAAAATCAAAAGCATTACAAATGTCCCTTGATTTCGAAGCTTGGGACCTTAAAAAGTCAGGGAGTATTTTATTTATTATTTTTAACTTGGCAAACCGTTTTTATGCTTTTATTTATTTTATTTTCATTTTTTATATATTTGTGAATTTAAAGATTAATTGTTCTCAAATGCTCTATGATGAATTTATACAGCACTCTATGTTCACATTATCATACTTCGCTAGATAAATAACTGTTAAGCATTTTGGATTTCAAGCTGACTTTGATTGAGTCGCCTAAATGCATTGGTTAAATATGACCATGTACTTGTGCTTAACAATAAGTTTTGACATATGCTCCACATTTGTCAAGAAAACAATTGCTATCAGAGTCCTTTAAATGTCAATGGAAATCAATAATAGTTGAACAGCTCGTGACTAAAAATAATTTCACTGTGTTGAAATTACGGCGTCGCCCACTTGCACTTATCTATTTTTTATGTTGTAGAAACAAAAATAACAATCAAAGCTGGCAATAATATAATTCATAAGATATGTGCACGCCATAGGACTCACTTTTATTTTCCAAAATCTTATTGGCCTATTTAAGTGTACATTTCATCATATTGAATTCTTATATTCTGCATTTCCATAAATTATCAACTTAGGCTGAAATGCTGCTACTTAAAGTTTATTAAAGTCCATTTATATTCTTTGCAGACTTCAGACTCGCATTTAATGAGCCACTAGCTGTGTCTACACATGGGACTTGGAACTCTCTACTTGAGACTCTTAACAATGCCAACTATAAATGGCAACAGGCTGAAATTTATACGAAAAGTTGCAGAAAACAATAAGCAAACAAAACAAGCCGAAAGTAAACAGCCATGCCAACAAATCCAATAAGCAAATGAAACAAAAACTAACACGAGGAACTGTTGAAAAAGGAAAAGACAAAATCACTTAAATCTCAACCAAACATCCCACAAAGAAATCCAAAGTCGCAGATAACTTTGACTCAAGGCGCATACCAATTGTTGCGCCACGCTCAACGTAGGGCGTTGTATCACAAGTTTGGCGTAAGGAATTATTATGTCATCAATATGAAACACACAAGCGATATGCGCATCATTGTGCTCATTTGCTGCTTGCTACAAGGTGAGTGTCAAAATTTCCAATTGCGGGAGATGTCGGTGGGGGAAAGGTACGGGATTTGCTAAATTCGCTACTGAGCAAACAGTCGACGCGTGGTGTCGCCTCTCAACACCTTGCAAGTCAATAAAAAGCGAATTGTAACTGCCGAGTAACTTGTGGCGTTTTAACACCCCGACGTGCACACACCCACGCACAGTTGTCTCTGTGGCATGTGTAATTTTTGGCTGCGCTTGTTTGTGTGCTGAGAACAAACTATACCCGTTCGTACAGCCATACACAATGCCCCAACTCCCCGTAGCGGCAGGTCCTTTAGCTTATTTCGATTATGTTCCATGTGAAGCGCACGTGTTGCTCTTACAAATAGGGCTCCTTGACTCATATAAACCTGACGACCATTTAGGGTTTTTTGTAAGAGAATTTTTATAGAGAATTTTTGCATGCCTGTTGAGCTTGAAGTTGGCTCAATTGAAACTCAATGCAGTTACAATAGCTGCAACTGTGAAGGCCAGGTAGCTCGGTTTTTGCTGCAGTTGATAAATATTTGGCTGGAAGCTGTAGCTCCCTGCAGAAATCAGGCATATGCATATCCACATGTGCTGCGGCGGTGACGCACGCGTCCCAGCAGGGAGTTGCAGCTGCTGTTGCATTGGCATTGGCATAAATTCCATTTCATTTTGCAAACCTGTAATCGTACTCAAAGTGCGCACAAAACACACATGCCAAATGAACCAGTTAAGGGGTGTGACGCATTCGCTCCCATCCTGCCACCACGCTGCGTTTACCACACGAGCAACAAGAACGTTGGCAATTTCGTGTTGCGTCAGCGAACGTACGTGCGGCGGGTTTACATCCGTCCCCGGTGCCCAATTCAATTTGTGCAGCAAATGTTCTTATATTTTACTCTTTCTCTCTGTATCTCGTTGCATGAGTGCAGTATTTAATTTCAAGTGCCATCAAATCATATGATATCTTACAATTTCCGTGATGTAGTTAGCATTACTTATACGCTCTGTGGTACGGTCATACTTGGCTCATCCTGGTGCTGCATTTATTGTTATTACTTTTTCAATTATGTGTAAGCTTAGCTACAATGACGCCTCCCTTCCTCTCTATGCCACAAACATTTTTTTATTTCGCTTTTAATTTGGCATCGCTTGTCAGACGCTTGTTGCTGTCGTTAGTGTTATTTTATTCATAAATGCGTTGCTGCGAGTCAAGAGTACTTCTCTCACACAACAACACGCACCTTCTCAGTGTAAGCGAACACACTTTTATACACATTTGCATCGCTCGTCATGTCAGACCCGTTTAAAGTTGCATTGTTGAAGTCGTTGTTGTTGTTGTTTTGTTCTCGTTTGCTTTTTTTTTTCTGTTTGTGTTTGCGGATTTGCGCCAGATTTGTGTCAACTTGAATACATCAGAAGCGTTTCCACCGACTTCTGCTTTTTTTTGTTATTGTTGTCTTCGCTTGTTGCGGCAAAAATGCACACGCAATCGCACAGCAACGGGGCGTATGAGTATGCTATGTGTAGCGTAGTGTTACCTTTGAGCTAGCTAAGCGCCTGAAAACTGTTGAACCTTTTCTTTTATATTATTGTTGTTGTTGTTTTGATGAGTTGCCACACCACAGGCCCCTATAGACTTTGCGCGGTCTCCAGCGCACCTTTTGTTGTTGCTCGCTTACTGCGTCAAACTAACCTAAAGCCTTTTTCATTATAACTTCTCTTAGATTAAATTCATATTTTGCAATAGGATCGTTTGCATATTTAGGGCAAGGTCACGCAGCGTCCACAGTAAATTAATTTTATTTCGGGCGCCATCAAGTTCACGGTTATTGAGAATAACATTAATTGTTTTTTAAACGCTGTTTAAATACACAAGGGAAAATTTAAAATGTCAATACCTCATCGTTATGCATAAGGGGCAGAATGATAAATGTACATGTTAATGAAGTCTAGACACTTTTATCTGCTCAACAACTACAAGCCCAACAAGCAATAAGAGAGGCCTTAATGAGCATCACGTTTAATTGCCTGACATTTGAATATCTATCACAGAATTTGTTGTTTTCGAACCTATAACATTTTGACAGTTTTTAGTACATTTTTACTGATAGGCTGCCAAGCAGGCCATTGTCTGCTGCAGATTGGCCCTGGGACTGACAGAATTTCACGTTAAACGGTTTGGCAGATAAAAAGTTTTTTCTCCCGACTAGGGCCGAATAATTGCTGTGCAGGCACTGAACTCATTAGTGGTCTAAAGTTTCACTCCCTTTCACTATGGCCGTTCTGACAGACACCGAGGTCGACCCGCTTGTTGGCCGTCCAAGTAAGCCGCTTTGATAGGTTTTTGGCCAGTTTTATCTTCTAATGGCGGCCTTCATTATGCGCTATTTGGCAACGCACTTCGGTTTAGCGCTCTGTGATGTAAGCGATGCTTTTCGCTGGTGCCCCCGCTTAAACCTATTTTACGCTGCTTGTTATCCCCGTTTGTAGCTTTGCTCGCTTTTTCACTTTTCCAGCGTTCATTCCCCCTTGTTTGACAATGTTATCGAATTATGCTAAGCGTTCAATTTCAAACACGGCTGCTACAGAGAACGATGGCAGACCACAGGTACTCAGGCGGGAATAGCCTGTTCCAATATGCGTTAATGAGAAGAAAATCATACATAATTAATCATGTATTCTGAATTATGTTGTTCGCCGGATTTTTCGCCCCATCTGCTGTTGCTACCTCTGCTAGATAAACATGCCAACAGAGCGCCGCATCGGGCATCATTTCTATAAATTTAAGAAGGCAAAGTAACTCAGATACTAGCAAAGTTAAGTCCGCTGCTGTTTAAATTTAGAGCTCTGAGCATTTAGAGCATTAAGCAACTGATGGCAGCATTTGAGCCTTACAAAAGTAAAGCCTCAACAGGTCAAGAGATTGGTATGTGATGTATTTACATCTAATAATAATGAATTGTGTATTGTTTATTTTCCATTCAATCTCTTCAGCATTTTATATAATATCTGTTTTTCCAGTGCTTTTAATCAGACTTTCTGTTGTTTTCCCCATTGTAGCCCAGACATTTTGTCCATGTCGTTTCTGCAGGCATTGCTTTTGTCTTCTGGTTGCTGTTGCCGCTGATGTGGATGCGGGTTTTTAAGTATTTTTCCTTTTAATTAATGTACTTTGTTATGCAGACAAAATGACATGTGTCTGCTTTGTCAACGCTGCTGCTTTGTGTCAATGTGTGCAGATGTACATTTTTGACAAAGCAACTGTTACTTGATGCGCCCATCTCAGAGGACCCATACACAGTATGTGTGCAGCAATCTGCCACACAGAAAATCTGTATATTTTTAAAAGATTACAAGACTTTAATCCTGACAGTTGTCCCAAAAGCTGTACGCGAACTCATTTTTAGTCATTGAATATTATTTCAATATATTTAATTTTTTACACGTGCCTGAATAATAATCCATTTTATTATTTTAAATGAGTTTATGGCTGAACTAATTTTTATAATGTGTTGCTGTGACATGCTGAACAGGAGCTGTTAAACGTTGGCAGCACTGCGATTGCTTTGTTAGCCAAGCCACAAAAGTTAAATTTTAGTCGAGTTTTTTGTTTATTTTAAAAAAGGACAAAACAGAAAGCTGATTTTCTAATTTAACGCTGCATGAACATGGCCCCAACAACAGCAGCACCGGTTGGCGAGGATGCGAGCCAATATCCTGTTGGCGCTCTTCGTTCGCTATTTGTAATTTGTGGCCAGGATGTGCGACGTGGCAGCCGGCGTCATAATTTTACAAAGGATAAAGCGCGATTACGTAGTCAGTTATGAATATTTACGAGCCGCGCAGATACAGGATAATAAAAAAGGGAAGCTCATTGGCAGCATTTAAGATTGCCTACATGCATCGCTTTTCCATCCAATTTTTCTGATTTTTACTCATAAATTATGAATTAATATTGGCGTTGTGTGCTACATGCATACTCTGACAGAACTTTACTCACTTAGCCAGAACCGATATCAGTTGGCAAAAATCAATTACGGCAATACGCAATGAAAAGTCTATGGGGCCGTGCAACACTTGGCTGACTGAAAGTATCAAATATTTCGTTTAGCTGCAGCTTCAAGACCTTGGGACATGACCTGGTACTGCATTTTAATAATAGTCTCTTTAATGCAAGCTGCGCTTAATTTGTCTCGTCAGCAGGTTTCGCACTGGGCGTGCGCATGGTCAAAGTCTCCATACCCGCCTTCAAGATGCGTGGGGAGTCGGCCTTTATGGAATGCCAATACGAGCTAAATCGGACGCACGGACCACAAATAATTGGCAGTGGACATCGAGGACGCGATCGCTTCTCACATGGCGGAGGCGATGCACACGACGTGGATGCGGACTTTGATAGGCAGCCACATCGACGCGCACATCAAGGACAGCGGCAGTATCAACAGCATCGTCAGCAGCATCAGCCATTGGCACTGAGGCAGTATCAAAGTCAAACGGATAGACACCATCCGCCGCCGCCCGAGAAGTCGCCCTACGGCCACAGTGTCTATCGAGGCAGTGCAGCATCTGGTTATCTGGGCAGTCGTGTGGGCGCCAGTGTTCACAATGGAGGCGGAGGCGGCGGTAACAGTGTCAGCAGCAGTGGCACCTCAAGCGGTTCCATTTCCTACATACCCGACTTTGGACGGGAAGATAGATACGATGAGAGCGAGGAGGAGGAGGAGCCTCAGGAGGAAGGCGAGGAGCTGTACGCCATCAAATGGTACAAAGACAACGAGGAGTTCTATCGCTATGTGCCAAAGGCGCGTCCGCCCAAGACCAGCTACCGCGTTGAAGGCGTGCGCGTGATTGTACGTAAACAACTATTCAGTGTTCGCCCAAGACCATTAACTATCTTTTACAGGAGGAGCTGTCGGATGCCAGCCGCGTGCTGCTGCGCGGTCTGACCCTCAACTCCACCGGCCTCTACCGCTGTGAAATCTCCGCCGAGGCGCCAAATTTCTCGTCAGTGCAAGGCGAGGGTCGCCTGGACATTGTTTGTAAGTAAAGCCCTCCAGATATTATTTTGGTATTCTATGTAGAACCCAAGCCAGCTTATCGACTAACGCCAACATTAAGCATATATTTGCATACAAATTTCTTTTGCAAATACAGACAAATATTGAATTGGTACACAAATAGGTTTATTTATTTATGAAAATTTCATAAATGCGTCATTTAGCTAGTATATGTATTTAAGATAAATTCACTACATATGTTGACAAACCATTTTGTTTGGTTCGTTGGCCATTTATGTTGGTGTTAGCATTCGAGTCGCTATATTTGCTTAACTTTCTGTTTTTACCTCCAAAGTCAACATTTTAAACAAGCAAAAAAATTACTTTATTTATTCTCATGTTGCTGAAACTTAAACCTTTATTTTACATGGAAATATATATGTAGCTATATGTAGAAAGTACAAATATCTGTGTAATGCCATTTTAAGGCCATCTAAGGGTATCTACCAATCATACACTCTGGACTATAACAATAAGTGCAATGTCGCACATACATACACTAATGAATACACAAAACAGCACACTCACAGGCCACACACACATATGCACACGAACATGCACACACACATCATTTAATGCAGTTTTTTTTAGAGCGGTAAATGCGGCTTCCTGAGCTGTTTGTATAGCGTCTGGAATGCTTTTAAAAAGTCATTCATAAGCTGCGGTTCTATAATAGCATTTATCTGTAATTTCACGAATGTTTATTTTTTATTGTTTATCGCATGCAGTGTTATTCAGTATATTTTTTGTATTGTGCACAGGCATGTTCATGCATGTATTTGTTTAAGCCAAATGGACAACACCAGCTGTAAAGGGAATATGTAAAACTGCTGCACGGGTTGAACAGTGGGCGTTACGGAAGCGCTGGCTATATCAATATATTTGGCATGGTAACGGTCGGCAGTTATAGCTATAGGTCCAAGCCGACGATTTATAAGTTAAAATGCCATTTTAATGGATATTTCCGCAGCTTGGCCGCATACAACATATTTTGTGTTTGTTACCGTTTTTATATTGACTACTTTTATGCAAGCTTTTTTTTTTTATTAAACCTGTGGGTTTTTCGTATTATTTGAAACAACAAAAATCATTTTGAACAAGGCTAGACTACATATATTTGTTTAGACTGGGATTTGTAAATATTTTAGCTCCTTGATTGCTTTACCAATAATGGTGAAATAATCGTGAGTACTTGGCCAAATATTACGTTTTGTGCTTTTAATGAAAAATAGCTTTATTCTATTATGTATGTGTATCGGTGTATGTATTTATGAATTTATATTTAATCTCTTGGCTGATTTTCATTTGCAGTTTTACCACGCGACGGTCCACACATCAGGGGGCAGCAACATCAGTATCAAATCGGTGAATATTTAACTTTAAACTGCACATCTGGGAAATCACACCCAGCATCGCATCTACAGTGGTTCATCAATGAGCAGCCGGTAGGTTCCAACTTTTTCTGTTAATTTCTTGTTGTTTGGGTAAACTCGCCTTCAATAACCCGGCAGATCCCTCCTACATAAGTTGCCACTACCAACAATTTTTAAATTATGCATACAGTAAATATTTAAACTCCCAACAATGGTCCAAGGGGTCGAGTGGGTACAGGAGAAGGATCCAAATCTCTGGCACAGCTGCCAATGTAGGTGCCAGAAATTATTTCACGAGCAAAAATCATGTACCGGGCTGGGGTTCCAGCTTTGCCTATCTCCGCGCCTTTCCCTCGCCCTTCCCCCCACCAACCGCTGCAGTTGTCCACAGGCCTTGGAATGGTTTATGGCACGTTGTTAGTTTTCTGTAGGTGTAGCTGGGCCATCCATCTAGCTGAAAGCTCGTTACACGTTTACTGTAGCCGGAACACAAAACGGCTGCCGATCCGAAGCTGAGCATGAAGAATAAAGAGGCAACCAAGGGACTGGGTCCCCATGCATTTTATAGTTGTCGACTACATGCTACTCAAATTGTGTGAATCGAGGCGTTAAGGTACGAGTTAGTTCATTGTACCATGTTGCTGGTGCTGCTGAGCCCAGTGCTGCCTAGGCCGCCCTTCTGTGTCCACTTGTGTAAATAAAAGAAAAATCAATAAGTACGATTAGGCACGTCTCTCGGCTTATTTGCACCACGCCGATGGGGATTACTTACTTCACTTTAAATGCTTATTGAATAAGATTTGTCTACCAGCTTCTCATAATAACGTCTGAAAAAGATTGTTTATTTAATTTTAAATACACTTCCCTGCTTTTAGGGTCCTGCACCTAACAATAAATGCTCAATAGACAGGAGAATATATATATTTAAATATTTTAGGAAACTTGTTATTCTTGCATTGTCCTTGTTGTGGCCACAGAATGTCTAAAAAAACCATTTTGAACTCGTTTTGGATCCTATTTCTGTCTTTGGCTTTGACTAGGAATGCGATGGGCATTTTAAATGCCCCCGTTTTATAGGGCCTGTCTAGTTGCTCGTCCTTGTTCAATGTTTTGTGTCAGGACACAGGACAGCTGCTGGCATTTGCAGCATGTTTTTATGTCAGCCTAGCACAGACGCAATTGCGACCATTTTAGCTTGTTTAATTTATGCCTTTCAAGTTTAAGCTCGCTTTCAACTTTGGAATTCAGGAGCTTTGTAATTTTTATGGACGTCATAAAGAATGACAACCCAATCGCATAACAAATTGCAACAATTTCGCTTGCAAAGTGCCAAACTGCGGCGCCCGCATCCGCGCTCAATCCAATCTCACTCCAAATCCAATATAGAAGCAAAAAGTTCAGGCTATTTATTTTCCAATTTTACAATTTGTATCTTCACTTCGTATATCTCTTATTTATGGCGCTGAGGTCTGAGCAAATGACTTCATTTTTTTCCACCATATGCTTTAGAATATTGCGAGTGCATCATGCCCTCATCTGACAACAGCAGCATTTAGAGGGGGAAATTAAAAAGCGTCTGCCTGTCCTGGTAATTGCAACCTTCAATTCAGACATCTAAGCATTCCATTGCGAACAAAAGAGTCATTTGCTTTTAACGCAGCCTTTGAGCGCTGGCCAGACACGTCTGAAATACTCCGGCATAGTTGTTGTCGTTACTCATACGCTGTGTGTGTCATACGTGTGCTTAAGAAGAAAATGAAAAGCGGGCATAGAGGAAAACGCTGTTTAACTTTGTGTTCAGTCATGCGGAGGAAGCGAATAGGAATAAGCAAAGAGAGAGAGAGTCAGACATTCCCACCTTACTAAAAACAATGCACATGTCTGGGCTTACCTTGCAGATACTAGAGGAGCAGTACCTTCACAAATACAACGATATTGTGCACAAACACGGACTAATCACCTCGATACTGGGCCTGCAGCTGGAGTTGGAGCCACGACACTTTCATGACGGCGAAATGCGCGTCAAGTGCCTGGCTAGCATATCGCCGGTGCTGTGGAAAGGCGGCAGGGAAAGCATTCTACAGCGCCGTCCTGGC